TAATTTTTAATAAGTTCTTTTCGGGACTTTCCTTTTTTTTGCCTACATCATTTGCCTACATCATCCATTCTATTCACACTCCTTACAAGTTAATGAGTTATTACAATCCATATTTGTTTATATGACATATAGGTTTTACTACAGACGGTGAATTCAACTCATTGACAACAAATGGAATAAACCACCCTGTTTCAGTTATTGAAGTCATTAAGAACTCGAAGAAGAAAGCTACAAGTCTAACTGTGGATACTATAAGCAAATTTTTTGCAATGGATCCGAACGGTACGTACTTCCTATATATTTTATTTCCCTAAAAACTTTATATCTTTTTGGAGATACTGTACATATAAGGGAGCAATGCTGATGTAAGGGCATTTTCAGTCCAGCACATACAGTGGCAGTTTTATTAAATTGTTATCATTGATATGAATATTTATTATGGGAGGCATAAGTGCCCCTTTTTAAGGCGAGAGGGGCCTTTCCCAGACCCGCCGAGAGAGGGGGGGGGACAAATTTCCTATTTTCTGTGGGCACCCAGTCATTTTTTGGGGCGAAATATTTCTGTTTTCCGGACAAAGTACCGAAATTTGGTATGGAAAAAGTTGGGGAAAGTGATACGAAAGCAACTAAAACGTTATTGTCCGTAAAAAAATTCCCTGCTGGCAGCCGTATGTACAGTACCTTGTAAATCTGTGGAAGCACTTTTGATATTTTCAATCATACTGATAGTTCGGGAAAATATCTCACTTTAGGAAATCCTATCAAACGACATCCATCAGTACCTTTGGAAGATGTGATATGTTTACACGAATTCATGTCATCAGGAGCAGATGAACCAATGCCATTCTACAATGCACTTCTTCTACTTAGAAGAACGTTGTTTCCATTCTGTCACGACCCATATCCTTGGGTTAAAAGTATCCGTAACATATTTGAAATTAATCAAAAGCTTTTTTGTAAATTTGAAAATAATTTTGAAACAAAATGAACGACGTTTCGATGCTTAAGCGCGTGCGTCAAACGTCGTTTAATTAAATTTAATATTGCTAAAATGAAATTGACAATTACTGTATTTAACAATTATGCGCCGAAGGCGAGGTGATTATGGGGGAATATTCGCCTAGACGAAGTCGAGGTGAATATTCCCCGATAATCACCGAGCCTGAGGCGAATAATTGTTTTAGTATTTTTGTGTTTTTTGGGACTGAATTTATTTTAATTTCGTTCATTTCTTTATCAGTATAACGTCCACAAAACGGCTATAGCCGCCATTTTGAAAATTTCGGTTTTGTTATATTCACCTGTAGGTGAATATTATATTCACCTGTAGGTGAATATAACAGCTTAATACGTCAAATTTGACCAATCAACTTGTACAGTAGGATTTGTTATGTTCACTTGTGCAAAAGTACTAAAGAATATTTAAAATTGACAATACACCCTTCACGTCACTTTGGCTGTAGACCCTCGTTTTCGTGTATGTGACAGCAGTTAAAGGCCACGTCTCAATCACGAAAACGAGGCTCTATAGCCAAGATGACGTACTTTCCTGAAGCGTGTATTACTGTGTGTCTCCGTGTCACACAAATAATGTAAATGTGATGATATATTTATCACATTTGTTTTTGTTTTAGTATTGCAATATATGGTAAAAATAGTGATAAACCAGTAATGCGATATATTGACGGTGATATTAGAATAGTAAGTGTCTCTCGCAGTGTCTCTACTTGTGCGACTACTGACTGCAAATCATTGGTATTAATTTCATTAACTATTTTTAAAAACAGGAAGACAAGAAACAACTGGCGAAGTTTTGAAATCGTTGATGGCAATTTACCTATACCGTGCACGTTTGCAAGAACTAAAGAGCAACACGGATGACCCCGCTGATTTCTTCAATCATATGTACCAGCCTGAGAAGGACGTTCGCACCAACGAAGTTGTCCACCATCGAGAGGATCACAACCACCTATTGAAACGATTGATCTCACGACTCCGAGAAGGCTACATCCCAAATTTTGATTTGCGCTGTTTAAGAGAAGCCCTGTGCGATCCTTCGACCGGATTGACTTACGAGGCTCTTACAGGGAAAAACAAGCAATCTGTTCCAGACTGCGAGCGTATGATTTTGCGAGGTGTCGTCCAGTTCTTGAAGATGCGCGGTTACAAAAATGAGGCAAGAGTGTTGGAAATATTTCGACAGTGGCATTTGGCTGCAGATGGAAGAGGAATTTGCGAGGAAGATCGTTCTAGATATTTCAAGGAAATGAAAGACTGGATCCTGGACAATTGGATGCCGTGGCACATGGCTGACAGCGATTATTCGTTTCTCGACGTAAACCGGTAAATAACATTTAATCGTTATCAAACTTCATTCCTAAATATTTAAATTCAGATACATGCTTTATCGTTTAAGTTTTCTTTCATAGATCAATTGCATTGCTGTCGTTCACATTTTCTGGCTCCTCAACAAGTTTCGCAAAGACATGTCGGTTGTACTCATGAAGGTATGTGTATGCCTCTTCAAGTGCATCTTGCCGACTAGTCCAATAACATGTTCCCATCACTTTAAAGGGTAGTGTATGCTCTCCACTGTAATCATCTGTTTCTTCACCAACATTCCGAACTTGCACTCTTGCAACTGACTGTATGGTGTTCTTTAATGGGCTTAGTGTCCATAGCACTACCAGGTCTTCATTATCCACCCTTATCGTGCAATGGCTTGAACAGCAAAATCTGCCTGGTGCAATGTCAATGTCCTTGTTTACAACACCATTGGACTGTTGTCCATTGCTCAGTGTAAATTTTACTTTTTTAAAGTTTAAGGTTATAACTGGAAATGATGGAATTCTCCATGGGAATGAAGCACGTTCGATTGATGTAATCGTGACTTTAATCTCTGTAGTGTCATCTGCAAAATGAGTAAAGCATGGTCTATATCTATATATCTCCTCAAAATTAACCATGTGAGCAAAAATTCACACCAACTACACAAACAAAGGATGAAAAGAAGCAAATTCAAGTTGGAAGGGCACTATTGTCTAAAGGTCACCTCTTTGAACAGTTTAGCTGGGGAAAAGAGCAATGTGAAAAAATGTTGAGGACATATCCCCCACCCTTCACTTTATTTGGCACTGATTATAATACAATTATAATACCTTCATTATTATGTTCTCTGTTTGAAACTGTAGATACATCATCACTGCAGGCTGAGTACTATTAAAATAGATAAATATCAAAATGTTAAAGCAAATGTTAAACTGTAACCATAGACACAATTTCAAACTTTGGTTGCTAGAATTATTATTAGAAGACTTCTTCCCGCCCTTGAGATTCATACTGATAGTCCATTAGATGGCAATGTGTTCAGATGCACACAATATTATTGAACTCTGTCTAACATGTACACCAGAAGATTTTATTGTCTGTGGTAGGATAATGACTAAAATAGCATTGCATATTTCACATAAATAATACATAACCTGCACTAATACTGGTAATGGAAAAGTGCTTAAAATAACATCCATTTCTTCCGGGTTGATATTACCAATTGAAACATTTAAAGATTTTTCCTTAGAAAGCAAGCTTGTTATGAATTAAGGAATCGCCAACATAATAGATGATGATGATAAACTTTATTTAAAAACATGCTAGTCTTTTCAGCATACAAATGACACCAGACAGCACTTCTGTCATATAAATTGAAAGGATACTTTCCACACATATTTTGTTGTGAGGTTGCCACTGGAGTATCCCTCCATTCACTCAAAGGAACAGTTTCCTTTGTCTTTGTATCTATGACTGTCTGATGGAGGAAAACAGATTTGGCTTCTAGAAACCTGTTTTTGTACCCTTCAGGGACATTTTTCAAATTCAACAAAGCCTTCATCAGATCAGCTTCTTCTACAACAAGTTTTCTTGCCTTGTTTATACCAATTCCTCGAATATTTGGCAAATAGTCACAACCCGCTACTATACACATTTCAAGAACTTTAGTTTGAGTCATGCCAAGATTTTCAAGGGCGTCACTCAATTCAATACAATCACACATTCCACTCGTTTCCATTTTGAACAAAACCTACAAGATAAAGAATATATGAATATTGTTGTACATATAACCTTTGTTGTTGTTATTATAATAAATGTAAACAATTAGAAACTGGTTGAAATTAGGTGAGTGGGGGGGGGGGTATAACCTAACCCATTCCCCCCAATTTAGGCTTATTGCTGATACCTTTAGGAACTGGCTATGTTTTGGCCCAATTTTACAGTTTGAGCTTCCTACTACCCTTTGTGGACATATATCATAGCTAAGGCTAGCGTTATGCCACCTTGGTTGTGCTAAAGGCTATCGTAATTCGTGAGTGTACTTCAATGATTTGAATTCTTGCACTTCACTTGGTGGATTTAATATTAGAATGTTAGGGTTTGTAATCCAAGTGAGAATATATACATTTTAAGACCTAACCAGGAACGATCGACTGCGAAAAATGCAGCACAAGGCTGCATTTTTCGCAGTCGTTCCTGGTTAGGTCTTAAACTGTATATATATTCTCACTTGGATTACAAACCCTAACATTCTAATATCGTGAGTGTAGACTTCATCTTGTCTGGGAAATAGAACCCCTCTCACCTTTTGGCATCCAAACGCAAGTAGGTCAGAATCTTCACTAATGGCAAAATCTACTTGTCCGTGTTTCATAAGATATGCAATTTGTGCATCTGCTTCATACGGGGCAACAGTATAATCGATATTTCTATCACGACACAACTAAAACAATAGTAAACATACAGGCGTATAAATTTGAGCATTATATATGAAATAAGTCTTCATAATTTTATATTACATCTACAATAAATGTTAACACCGAAGTCCGAAGAGTTTTAAGTAGCTAGAGTATTTCACTAGACTATAGTGACACTTACTCTGATAAATTCAGTTGTTATGGCGTATGCCTATGCGAGTTGCTCCGGCAAATAGCTTGTTCGCTGCCACTACTTCACCTTCTTTTCGAAGCTCATTTGCTTTTGCTCGGATCTCCTCTCGGCGTCTATACATTGATATTTATATAAAAGCAAAAACGTCGGATAAATATTGTTATATTAACGTTGACCACCACGTGTGTGCTGTTGCATTCAAGCGGTCATAAAGTACAAATGAGATTGAAATCGATATGCGAAGTAATTTACATAAAAGTTGCGTCGACAAAGACGATACTCACCTTGTCCTTCTTACACGTTCAAGTTCTTTCGTTGGCAATCTTAATCCATCAAATACTACATATGGTTTGATTTCGTTTCTTTCAAGAAGATCGACGTATGAATTAAGAAGATCAAGTAATCTAAAATTGAACGTTTTTTCTTTTCACTGATAATGTTATAATTTTCTGAACAGATCAATATAAACAATAAACAAATAACTCATTGTATACTGAAATATATACCTGCTTTCGTCGCCATTTCGACTCATGCTTATTGATAGCGCTCTATGCAACAAACACGAAGCATCAACTGCAGCAGTTTGTCCTTTAAACTCTTCAAGGTTTGCTTTTCGTGTGACCTCCCTCAAGAAGGGTAATAAAGTTTTAATACCCATCGCTTCTTTCGCTATGGAGCTGTTCTATATTCGGCGTATCATATGGAAATGAGAAATTTTGTGTTTTTACCCATAATTCCGCGGAGCGTAGTGCGCACACCGCCTGATATATGTCTATTTTGAACCGGACAGTAATGGTTATAAAGGCAGACTGATACAACGTAATTATACATATATTTTAGTATACATATTTTCAGTTAAAGCTACACACGCCAATTGACAAATAGAATTTTTAATTAATCTCGCTGTGTAAGATCAAACATATCATAATTATAGATATGAGGAATATATCGCGTGCGCAACAACGAATCGTGTTTATAGCCACGTACAGCAGAGCGGACACTCAGAAATTTCTTACAAAAAAGAGCTTTGCTGATGCCATTGTAGAGGCATGCATGCATAGACCGTGTCAGGCTTTACAATTCAACATTGGGTCGTCCTTATGATGTGATGTTGACCAAATAATTAAGTCTGGTGCCGTATCGGACAAAATATTAATCTATATATACATATAAATGAACTCTAGTAGCTTAATAACTAACTGACAGTACTCATGAACAGTACTCATGAACAGTACTCACAGTAATTGCTTAATTTTTCGTCGGATTGTAAATAAATACATAAAATATACACAACATTTTGTTCATTGTTACTGTCCTTACAATCTCATGGTAAATAGGTAAAACAAATTGTATATTTGAAGCAATAATTGACATTACTCATTAAAACCTCCAAACTTAATATGAGATATAGACATTGTCTTAACTCATGTTATGGCGAGTACTGTAATTGTCCTTTCCAAAGGCCCAATTTTCCTACAAAATACCAACAAACAGAATTGCGACACTTATGCCAACATTTAAAAACATTTTATTTCAGACAGTGAAATCATATATGTTCGCTTAGCTCTTGATTCTTTGAGTACTGTCACTGAGTACTGCAGAGTGTCACGATACAGAAAGCCCGGCGGCCCGCACGTCTAACAATTACATATTGATTTGCAGCGTATTATTATATCGCAATAAGCTCTTGCAATTACTCTTTCTGATGTAAAATAAAGGAGAAAATTTCCCTTGTTTACATTACTTGCGCAAATTCATATATGTTCGCTTAGCTCTTGTTTCATCGAGTATATACTGTCACTGAGTATACGGAGTGTCACACTACAGAAAGCCCGGTGGCCCAACACCGCGGAAAAACGTCTGCGCATGCACCAAATTATGAAAATATGGCGGGGAATTTGAATATCAATTTCTAAAACAAAAACATGCTTATTAATTGGTCAAAAATTAGTAAAACAAACGAGAAAATATAGCAAATGGGTAGACTAGACATTAATTGAAAGCGTCCTGGCATTTAAAGTATGGAATGAAATATAATTCATGTAAAAAATTGTAAATAACGGACACGACTTCGAAAATATTTGCAAAATTATTCAAAACAAAAATTCAAACTCAAAAGTTAAGAAAACTCTCGAAAAGTTAAGCTTCTTAACCCACTCAAATTGTAGAATAAATCCTAAAGTTTAATTATTGTGAACACGAAAATTTTTTATATTTGGCGACACAGTTTTTTTTAAAGAAATGTATCTCAAACGAAAATTCGGAAATTGTCGTTGCTTAGTTGATAAACAAAATGTTTCAGACGATAAATTTGTCAACAATCACCTTTAGTTCATGTTCTTGTACAATACCATTTCTTGAACCTTCTGGCTGTATTTATTCCTAGTTTTTAGAATGACATGTTTATTTTTGCGCTCGAAATCTGGCTGTAAAGACGCACAATGAAGTCACTTCTTTTTACCGCCATTTTGAGCCTTCGGAAACGTTCGGCACAGCTTCTCATCAAGTTCGTAATACTATTACAGGTATGGTTGACGCATGCGCAGACGTTTTTTCCGCGGTGTTCGGCGGCCCCCACGTATAACAATTACATATTGATTTGCAGCGCATTATTATATCGCAATAAGCTCTTGCAATTACTCTTTGTTATGTAAAATGAAGTAGAAAATTTCTCTTGTTTATTTACGTTACTTGCGCAAATAATTCTCAATTATCTAAACACATTGGCTTAATTTCAATCTAATATCGTATAGATTGCCTTCTTTTATGAACAACTGAAATATATATTTAAAAACAGATATTTCATAGGAGTATGGTCCTATTTATAAAAAAGCGATTGAACTTTGATAGTTTGATTGTACAACTTCTACTAGAGTAAGACCATGATTGTCTTATATGTAACCTGAAAGCAAGTATAACTTGAGCAGCTTAGCAGAGCCACCTTAACTAAAGACGTAAATAGTACACGCCGCCAACACATATAACAATCATATTTGATATTTTTATTCAGAATAAATTAGCACAAGTGTCTTGTACAAGGTTAAATGCATTTTTCGTGGAAATGAACATGTAGCAATTTTCAGACAATCTTGGCCAAAAGTTCGTAGAACGACAAAACAAATTCGCAACTTTTTAATATACTTGGGTTTTAAAATCATTTTGCACCTCCCCCCGCTCCCCCCATTGAATGTTGCTCTCCCACATTTCTAGTACACGTACAATTTTGTTGTAGAGTAGGTCAGATCAGAAATATACACGAAACGGCAACATTGAATGGGGGGAAGGGGGGCGCGAGGCCTTAAAAATGCATAAAAATTTATCGTCGTCCTACGGTTTATGGCCAAGATTGGTCTTCGGTGATCCTGTTGTAATTGATTAGTATATTCATCATTACAATCAGAAATGTCCTTTTTTATAATTTCCTTTGTTTGTTGGTCTGTGCGAGCTAATGCTCTTCCATAATCTAATATTTGTGACAGGGAAAAGGTTTTTTCCATCGAAATCTTTTGTCGCAATCTGTTAGATAAACATCCTTCAATTATTTGTTGTTTCAGTTCAGTATCTGTGTCTGCAAATTCACATGTTTTGGCCAAAGTAAATAATCTAGTATAATATGCATCTAATGTCTCATGTTCTTGTTGCTTAGCTTGGCGAAATTTATATACATAAAAAGGTACATTCTTAGAAGAACTAAAATATTCAGTGATCTAGCGCTTTTCACACGCGTCTTAATTTAAAGTCATCGTCGCCACCATTATCCGGTAGCGTGTCAAAAATGGCCTCCACTTCGGGACCTGCCGCGTACAAAAGCATAGCCCGCTGCTGTGCTTTCGACTTGATATCCATTGCGAGCAAATATCTTTGAAATCTCTTAAGCCATTGTTCTCACTCGTTCTTTCGTAGTAACAGGTAATGCATAAATTTACCCTCGTCGCCAATGTTATGTCTTCAAAATCGTTATTTATTTCAACGTCCCAAACTATAAAACCTACACACATGTGCTCACTTCCAATCGTCCCCGACCTCCCTGATGCAACCATAGGCGTACGGGAAGGAAAAAATTAGGGGGGCAGAAAGAAATTTGCCCGACTTTTTCGAATTGTGCCCGAGCCCCCGTCGCCAAAAAAATTTCGGTCAGTGTACCATTTTAGGGGTCCAAAAATTTTTCGGACATACCAAAATTTTTCGGAACATCAAACAAATTATACCAAACATTAAAAAATTACATAATTTCCCGCAAAATTGACAGAATTTGTCCCATTTATTTTTATAATACCAAATAGTGAAGCGAATATTGCTCAACTGGCTTGGTTTGCCTAACAAACTGGGGTTATTATTACGAGAGATTTTATTGCTTTGACTACTTTTTCCCCGACTTTTGCCCGACTTTTGTTGAACATTTGCCCGACTTTTCGACTTTGTAATCTTTTTGGGGGGCAGCTGCCCCCCCTGCCCCCCCCCCGTCCCGTACGCCTATGGATGCAACGTTCTATACTTCAGGTAACACCAACATAACAGCTGTCTCGCTAAGCGGGCCAGTCCGGCTTCCATATATATAAACGGCCCCTAAGAAACTGCTATGCAATAGATTTCCCAAGGTCTATGGCCTGTATTGCGAATTATAGAGTGTCATAGAAATGTGGCTTGGAGTCGGTCTAGTTATGTTAGAACCGCATTATGAACATTATGAACTATGCGCAGTCATAATTCATGCGAGTCTTTCATTAACAACCTAAAGCTTGATAGTGCTCCAATTATTCCTCTTAAACTGCAATTGCAGACCAGACCTATGTACATACTCATAATTACGATTTAAGATTTGAGCCCAATAATATGCGAAGAACAAATACGGAACGATTTAAAAAAAATTACAACTTACTGCAAAAAACAATATTATGGTCACTAATTAGGTCACTGGTGATGAACATCGATCATTTCAATACTCAGAATGAAAAGTTATTTTCTGGTTCACGGCGAATACATTGCATTACAATTTACAACTCATGCACCGTATTAGAATAATTCGTTATTTTGTTTTCAAAAATACACGGTTGATTAAAAAAAAACCTGAGTAAAAACTACAAAAGTTTGTCGAGGAAGAGACTTTAGAGAAAACACGAAAAACAGGCGAAGTAAGGGTATTTTGCGAAAATTAAAAGTTTTTTGTGGGTGGGGGGGGGGGCTGAAAAGGTGCAAAAGGGCGCGATACAGTAAAATTTCTGTAAATGCCGCACTAGTTTTGTGTTTTTAAGATAGATACGGCTATAAAACTTTTTTTATATTTAGCCTCCTACAACATTGCATACTGACTAATTTTGGCCTGCTCTTTTTTCAGCATGAGCTCCACCTTTAAATTTACTATATCAGTAAATTGTTAAACACGTCCGAATTTATCAATATGATACATTCGCGGCACCTAACTCATAACCACAACCCCTAACCCTAACAACAACTCTAATTAACCCAACCCCTAACCGTAACCCCCAACCCCTAACCCGTCTAACTCTTGCGGTTTTATGATTTATTCTATTGATAATTTCAAAATCTGCCGCGAATTTATCATATGACAAATTTGGACGTGTTTAACAATTTACTCATATAGTAGTTTCAAAAGTGGAGCTCATGTTGTCTTTTTTGTGGTAATTATTGAAAGCTGAC